AATTATAAAATATAAATTATTAAATAAAAATAAACCCAACACCGTAAGATTATTTCCAATCGAAGAATAATTATTTTATTATTTAGTATGATACATATAATAAAATAATATTTTTTTAATATGAGAAGTTATTAAAAAAAGAAAAAAGAAAAACGTCTATTGTCACCTTTCGTCGACGAAAAAAGAAAAATAATAAATAAAGGTTATCACCACCACCCCCGAGATCCGAATATTTCGTCCTTCGAGCCTAAAATTGTATGCGCGATTCAAGAAAATAAAAATAAATAAACACAAGTTGCTTTCTTCTTCTTTCGTTTGTCGATCCATACGACTAACGATCTCAGATCCCATTTTGTTTCCCTTCCATTTTCAACTTCCACTGTTGGATTGCAATCATTTCTTCATATTTTTGTTTTTGTTATTGCTGGTGCTGTTGATCAGCCGCTCCCCGGTCGAATTACGCGGACAATGTATGAAGGAAGGTGAGGTCACAGATGGTGGAGGGCCGATCCGAAGAACCTAGCGTGGATGCCGATGAGACTGGCGTTCGGGAACTCTACGCAAATGGGATTTGCATGAAAACATCGGAGGTCGAAGCCAAACTCGACGAGGGAAATATTCAGGAGGCAGAGTCGTCCTTGCGCGAGGGCTTATCGCTTAATTATGAGGTTGGTGATCGCATCTAGCTTTCTCGCACGAAATTTATCATGCATTTTGGTGACAGTGTTTCTAATCCGTTTCTACATTTAATGTCGGTTTGCATTTTTAAGGATCAATGACTTTCGAAATTATAGGGTTATATATCACTTGATTTTTGGTAGTGTAAATTTTCATTTATTTATCTTTTCCGTGGAATTTTATGTTCCTTTCTATTTTGACGTTGCTAATGATGTTCCCAACAAATGATTCACTATTTCATTCATTTATTTATAATTTTATATCCGTTTTATGCTGTTTCCTTTCCTTGTTTAGATAAATTATGATTATATTTGATTTCATAAAATTGGCAGGAAGCGAGGGCCCTTCTGGGAAGATTGGAGTATCAAAGAGGCAATCTAGAGGGTGCACTTCATGTTTTTGATGGCATTGATCTTCAGGCTGCCATACAGCGATTGCAACCTTCTCTTTCTGAAAAACCTTTTGCGAAAAAGAGTCGCACACGTGACGATTCTCAACATTCTGTTTCCCAGCATGCTACCAACCTAGTTCTTGAAGCAATATACTTAAAAGCCAAGTCGCTTCAAAAGCTTGGAAGATTAAATGGTATAAAATTCTAATGGAAAATGGCTTTTTGGGCCAAATAATAATAATAAATAATAATGAAAAATTACTCTTTATGTATCGTCTTAAGTCTGAACCTAGTGTTTGGGTTTTGTAGAGGCTGCTAATGAATGTAAAAGTGTGCTTGATGCTGTGGAGAACATATTCCAACAGGGTATACCAGAAGTCCAAGTGGATGGTAGGTTGCAAGAGACAGTTAGCCAAGTTGTTGAGCTCCTCCCAGAGCTTTGGAAGCAGGCTGAGAACTATCAAGAAGCTGTTTCTGCTTATAGACGTGCCCTACTTAATCAGTGGAGCTTAGATAATGATTGTTGTGCACGAATTCAGAAAGCATTTGCAGTTTTACTGCTGCACAGTGGAGTGGAGGCTGGGCCACCAAGTTTAGGCTCTCAAATTGAGGGTTCATTTGTACCTAAAAATAATTTGGAAGAGGCTATTCTGCTTTTGATGATTCTTGTGAGGAAAAGTGATCTTGGTAAGATCAAATGGGATCCATCGGTCATGGAGCACCTAACCTTTGCACTGTCTCTCTCCAGCCAAACTTCTGTTCTAGCAAAGCAATTCGAAGAGATCCTACCTGGCGTATTTCACCATGTTGATCGTTGGAATAACTTAGCACTATGTTACAGTGGAGCAGGACAAAACAGAACTGCCTTGAACCTACTGCAGAAGTCTCTACATAAACATGAACGACCTGATGACCTTATGGCATTGTTGTTGGCTGCCAAGATCTGTAGCGAGGATTCTCATCTTGCTGCTGAGGGAGTGGGATATGCCCATAGGGCAATCAATAATGCCAAAGGGATAGATGGGCATTTGAAGGGTGTGGGTCTTCGTGTCTTAGGCCTTTGTTTAGGGAAGCAGGCTAAAGTTTCTTCCTCTGATTTTGAAAGGTCCCATCTTCAGTCTGAGGCATTAAAATCATTAGATGGCTCAATTTCCTTTGAGCAGTGTAACCCTGAGCTCATTTTTGAATTAGGAGTTCAATATGCAGAGCAGCGGAACTTGAATGCTGCTTTGCGCTATGCGAAGAAATACATCGATGCAACAGGTGGTTCCATATTAAAAGGTTGGAGATTGCTTGCTCTAGTTTTGTCTGCTCAGCAGCGATTCTCAGAGGCCGAGGTGGTCACTGATGCTGCCTTAGATGAGACTGCCAAATGGGAGCAAGGACCACTGCTCAGGCTGAAAGCCAAACTAAAGATCTCCCAATCAGAACCCACAGATGCTATTGAAACTTATCGTTACCTCCTTGCATTGGTTCAAGCCCAAAGAAAATCTTTTGGTCCTGTTCAAAGTGCTTCTGAGGTGAGATTCAGATTCTTGTTCATCTTTATTTATAAAAGAAGAGAAGTGTAATATCACTAATGCTTTTCTGCAATCTTACATTCTTGCTGTTTAATTTCTCCTGAGATTTTCTTAGCAGTGTCATGAAAGTCTTGTTATATTTCTCATTCTGTTGGGAAATGTAGCTCAATTAAGTATGCTCTTTTGCTTAAAGTAATTAATCACTATGCTAACTAGAATCTCAAAATGCACTTAATGGTTTGGTTCTTTAGCAGGTTTATAAATAGAGATCAATTGTTTTTTTCCAGATTCATTGTCATTTCCTTTTTCTTTTTTTTTTCTTTTTCCTTCTAGTTTTCTCCATAGGAAGAGGTGAAGCAAATTAATAATACAATCAAATATCTATGACTAACCCACCCTTTTTTTTTTTCCTTTTTCTTTTTTCCTTTTTTGAGCCTTTTAGAATTAGATAGAAGGAATGAGGAAGTTGTGGGGGGAAGAAAAAGTGAATTCAACCTCACCAAAACTTGGGTTTAGGTTCCAAGATAATTACTAGTTGAGGGACAATGGAAATGCGGAGAGGGTAACTGTATTCTACAAGATCATTTAAATTAATCACTCTCCAGAAATTATAAGTGTGTTGTTTTTTCTTTATATATATATATGTGTGTGTGTGTATTATTTTAGTTACACTTCTATTTTCTTCTCTCTCTGTAGTACATCACAACTGTTTTTCGATTTTATTTTTCTATTCTATTTTTAGACAAGTGTTTTGGAGTATTAAGATCAAGGAGATAATACATTTAACTGCTTCTATCTTCCTCATTAGCCTTTGGTCTTTAATGATAGGTTGAGGATGATAAAGTGAATGAGTTTGAAGTTTGGTATGGTCTTGCAAATCTGTACTCTAGCCTTTCACATTGGAAAGATGTGGAGATATGTCTGGGAAAAGCAAGAGCCTTGAAACAGTACTCTCCAGAGTTGATGCACATAGAAGGCAAGAATTCAAACATTTTATTGCCAGAGCAACCTTTGGTAGTATATTTTCTGGAAAGCTTATGGATGATTTTTCTTTTAAATGTACCTCTGGATGTTGCTTCCTAGCATTGCTATCTAGGCTGAAGAATAGAAAAGGTTTGGTAAATTGTATTGCAGCTCTTACATAAGATGAATAGACCTAATGGTGTGAAGCATTGAAGAGATAAGGAAAATGAAAGTGATGCAGAGTAGGAAGGAAATATTTTATATATTAGGATTATATTATAAGGGAAAAGTGTTTATCCACTGGACTTCTAAAAAATTAAGAGAGAACATACCCCAAAACTATGCTGTTTCAATGATCTCCTATTGAAAAAGAATAAAATAACCTATTTTTAAAGTAAGAATGAGACTGTATTGGTTTTTTTCCTGTGATGCTTTATTGAAACAAATAGTTTTGGAGTGTTTTTCCTTCTAATTTTTTAGATGTCTAGTTGACAAACACTAAACTTGTATTATAATTATGAGTAAATTGAGATTAATTTGTAATATTTATTTAGTAGTTTATATTTATTAGGATTTGTTATTATTTTTAAATAAAGATTCCACCCTTGTCTCTGTTTCTAAATTCTCTCTTCACCTTGGCTTCTGTTCTACATCAGAAAGATAATAGAGAGCTTCTTCTCAAGACATATATCTCAGCCAATTTAACCAATTTCATAATTTAATAGCACCCTATCTTAAATTATGTATTATAATTTAGCAAGAGAAGATTTCTGTCTCATTTTATTTTAAAATGAAAAAGAAAAGAGAAATTCTCAAAAAAATATTTTCTGACTGATATTTTTGCCTATCTTTGTACTTCTACCTAGTGTCTAAGGCATACCTTGTGCAAATTAGCATGCAAATATATGTTGAGTTAGATGTATTAGCAGTGACCTCTTGGCTGTGTTGTTTTATTTAGTCTTAATCTGAGTCAACTCAATTTTTTAATCGACATTGCTACCTGACAGTCCTAATTGTGCAGCTTGTTCTAATGAAATCATTTACCTTAAAGCAATTACCTGTAACCTTGGAAATAGTGAGAGCTTTTGAGAATTCATTATGATCATCTATGGCTTGTTATCCACTAGGCATAATGAATGGGGTATGAAATAAATATTTAGTTTGTGGCCATGGTTAAGAGGAAAGTAGAGGAACTGATGAAATACAGCTTGTTAAGTAGAAATTTCTGAACATCTATGATATCATTAAATCTATTATGATATTCTCTGAGCAAAGTTTATTGATATGATCAGTGAATTGGTTCCCTTACAATGTTAAATTGGAAGTTTAATGTATTTATGCTATTTTTCATCTCCTAGGTAGGTAAAATACAAATTCCATATAATTACCACAATAGTGATAATCCCTTTTCTATTCCTCTAGGGGCTATGTGTCAAGAACGAGGACAAACTCGAGAAGCGCTGTCTTCGTATATAAATGCTGTTTTATTGGAACCATCTTATGTTCCTTGTAAAGTATTAATTGGTGCTCTACTGTCCAAAATTGGTGTGAGCGCATTACCTGTGGCAAGAACCTTTCTCTCTGATGCATTGAGGATTGAACCCACCAATAGGAAGGCTTGGTATTACCTGGGTATTGTTCACAGGAATGATGGACGGATAGCCGATGCCACAGATTGTTTCCAAGCTGCTTCAATGCTTGGAGAATCAGATCCAATAGAGAGCTTTAGCTCTATTATTTGACTCACTCCCATGAGTTAAAGGTATTATAATTTAATGTTACTTATTCAATGCTACACACTTATTTCCTGCATATTAAAAGTGTTCATCTTTGACAAACTTTATGCAGTTAAATCCTTGCGTTTCAGATGTTCAGTGGTATACACAATTGCAGCCCCCAGCGTACAAGGTTTATAATCTGTTCCATTGACATTTTTTTTCTTTATTTAATATCACTCTTCGAATGGTCATAAAAAAGGGACCAAGTTGAGTGAGTTATTGCAATTCTTGGAAAATAAAATCAGAGGGCAAAAGAAGACCAGGCTATTTAGTGAAATTGTAGGATAAGCTGTTTGGTGGTCGTCTTACATGTATTGCTTAGCCTGCATTTGGCATCTGCTGTACAAATGTATGTTATTTACTAGAGCAACTGTAGTTTGGCATCAGCTGTGTAAATGTTATCTTTATTTTCTTATTATTTCAACAACATTTCAAAGGTTATTCATTTTGAGACAGGCAACACGCAGAGGAGAAAGAAAAAGGGAAATGAATGCCACAAACTCAAGGTGAGAAAAAACCTATCATGTAATACAAATAGTACTAAATGAAAAGAGAAAGTAAGAACTGAACAGAAAAGAAAATGTCTTTCTATTGAGCAAATCTTTTCTTCAGAAAAACAAATTAACTACCTTAGCAAAACACAACTTGGCATAACCACAAATTAAGCTAGCGTCCAGATATAGCCGTCATGTGACACAATGGCTAGATAAATGGCCATCTGCCACTTCTTCCCACGAAACCCTCTAAACCAGAAAGCTAAACGTGATAGATTGAAAATGAAGCCGTCTCCTACCATGTAGATTCTACTAAAGCTAAGAATGGCTTTTGTGAGTTTAGTTACAAACAGCAGGTTTGCGAGATTTAAAAGCAAATCTTAAACCGAAAGGCAAGAAAAAGAGGCAAATGATGTTGGGTGTGAAGAAATCAGCTTGCATGTCTATGAACTAACGTTGCAAATGATATTTTAATATGAGCAGCTGACAAATATGAAAGATATATAAATAACCAAATTAAGTCCTCACCCAACAACGCAATATGTCCCAAATTACATCTCTGGGAGCATCTGACTTTTGCCTATCGGATTAACATGAGTTCCAGAAATACGATATCCTGCATTGATCACAGCCAAGTAGAAAATAACAGCAGACGGGGGGGAAGTGCATTTTAGTGTAGCACAGAGGTTGTGTAGAGTTAAAAATAAAATAAAGGTATCTCAGGCAAATCCGCCAAAGTTTCCAAAATGATAATAAGAACCCTGCTTTCAAAATATAAGCACAAAAAATTTAGCATGTAACAACTACTTAGACCAAAAAATCTATTTGACATTGATCAGTGAGCAAAATGAAGGCATTAGCAGTTGAAAGAAAAGTCAGGAAAGTGTTTCTTTCACATCACTACATAATTTTTTGGTTAAATCCTCATTTTGGTCCCTGAACTATTGCACAGACCCCTGGTTTGGTCCTTGAACTAAAGAAATCCCTGATTGGGTCCCTAAACTATTGTACAGACCTCCAATTTGGTCCCCACTGTTTATAATTTGGTTTAAATTGGTCTTTAAACTATTATACAGACCCCCAATTTGGTCTTTACTGTTTATAATTTCGTCTCATTTTGGTCCCTGATCTATTATTTAACAGAAGGACCAAGTTGGGGCTAAATCGGTAAACAGTAAGAATCAAATTGGGGACCCGTATAATAGTTTAGGGACTAACTCAGGGGTCCGTACAATAATTAAAGGACCAAATTAGGGATTTCTTTAGTTCAAGGACCAAATCAGGGATCCGTATAATAGTTCAAGGATCAAATCGGGAGTCCGTATAATAGTTCAAGGACCAAAATAGAGGTTTAACCTAATTTTTTAGAAGATAATACTTTAAGCCTTAATTTCGGTCGATACTTTATTTGTGCAACCATTAGCTAAATATTTCCCAAGAAATAGCATGGCCTGAAGGGTTGATTGTCTAAAAATTAAATATGTTAATACCAGTTTCATTGCTGGGTCCAGTAAACTAATCCCACCCACACTATAAATACTGCAGTACTCACAAATTGTAAAAATGCAGCTTTCTAAACTAGAGGAGAATAAACATCACGTCAGAAGCCAAATAGCCTGGTTTCAAGCTGACAAACTCCGGCAATGCTTGAGAGAGTGTTCAATGCTCACCTTTAGGGTTTGACTTTGCAGAAGCTGTTTGTAGCTTCACGCCATTCAAGTAGCTTCACGCCATTCAAGTATCTTCCAAAATATTATTACTCTGAAGAAGGATTGATCTATCAATTACCAGAGTTTCATAACTTTCAGCTTCCAGAAAAGGCAAGATAAGTAATTTGTTAGAATTACCTTGACGTGCTGTGATAGTGCAATTAATCCAAAATCAGATGCTTCTAAGGTTGCCATATGCATTTACTGGAAAACCCATGAAGCAACTCAGAGAATTCTGTAGCCTGGTGGAACACAGGAACTTGAAGAATTTAGCAAGTCTGTCCAGAACTGCAGATATTCGGGTTGGATCAAGTGGTAAGCGGCTTGTTCCAGCTTAAGCAAGGTCTCGAGTTCGAGCCCTTGTGTATGCAGCAGCCCCCCGCTGGGAGACTCACCCACCATTTTCAGGTGCACGACGTGGGTCGGGTCCGGAGTAGTCGAGGCGAAGCCTCGGATACCGGGCGGGAAACCAAAAAAAAAAAAGGGAAAAAGGCAATTCTAAATAAAGCACACAAAATGAAATGTGTAAAATCACTTAAATCAACAATCAATTACTTCCAAGAATAAGAAAAGAGATATTCAAAGTTCTAATTCTTTTCCATAACTTTCTAAATGGGATTTCCCCATGGGCTCCTGAAAATTATGCAGGATGTTGTAGGGAGCATATTACTAATATTAACAGTAATGTAAAGAACACGCTACCAATAATAGCAGTAAACTAACATATAAAAGGGGTTTTTGAAACCTCCAACATCAAATGTACTCAGCTTATTCACAATCACTGCAGCATTCAAGACAGCAACACAAGTAAATCAGGATACCATTCAAAACAGAACACTGAATTTTCCTACTTGAAATTGTTTGCTGGGTACTGACTGAAACCACACAATTTCTCATAGATATTCAACCCAATACGCATTTGCCTCCTTAGGCTGCCAAATGAAGATACAAACCACTTCCAAATCCCAATTTTGAACCCATATTAGATTAATCATGGAAAAAAGAAAAGGGAAAAATTAAAAAATTAAAAATGACTACTATCATAGCTTTCATAACAATCAGACAAACAAAGGTTGCACAGAGTATTGTCTCCAATAAAGCTAGCAAATTTAGAACCCTAGAGCAGCATATGCACGACAAAATTGTTCTTTGAAACCTCAAACAATGAGCAACAACACCCTTCAAATAAATGATAATATATTTTTAAAAGGAAAAAATTTGTTACCAAACTCAGTGTCAATTGGTAAGATTTACCATTTTGGGGACTTAAACTTGATAACTTACCAAAAAAATTTTCAGCGGCCTTGGGATCACCAGGGTTTTTCCTATACCCAAATATGCACAGGGTCCTTGCATTCTTTGCATGGTAGATGTGCTACTTTAGAATAAAGGCTTTTTCCTTCATTAATTCTCAACCAAATTCATTAAATTAACACCATTCCTGTTAAAAAGCTAAAAAAAAATTTTTTTAGCAGAGCTCACATTTCAGTTTGCCATTGGTTGAAAACTTCAGAAAACTTCCCCTTTTTGTGGAAAATGAGATAATAACATTACCTAGAACCCAAAAATATATTAGTCTTTGGGGAAGCATGCTAGAAAAGCTAAGCTAAATATCTCTAAACCATAACAATTCAGTGTGAGAAGAAAAGAAACACCAAAAATGTAAACCAAATGCCCTATCAACATACCAGAGAAAAGGAAATCAGAGATAAGAATTTCACTCAGGCTTCCAAGTTTCACTTCAAATTTATCATTAACAAGGATACTGCTTGCTTGACCATCCCTTCAGCTACCAAAAATAGAATTGCAAGTAAGATCTATGCCATTGAGTGTAAATCTTTATAAAGCTACTGATCGGTTATGAACACCATAAAGGAAAGCAAAGTTAAAAACAAAGCAACGCCAAAAAATTAGTGGTTAGTGGTTTAATTCCAATCCAAGGGATATAACAATTGTTACTGGTACATGTGTCTTGTTATTTGTGCTCGAATTCAGAGAATATGTAACATGAGTCACAACCTATTCTCAGCAACCAAACAACACAGTTGAGCTAAAATTTCAATTACATTACATACTCTGTTGATTCGAAAGAAAACCAGCCCATAAAATTATTTCCTCGAAAAATGTCTTTAAAATTAATAAGAATCTAATCAAATATGGAAAAAGATTCATTGACCTTTGTTAAAGGAACCCGAGCAACATCCGAGAAAAGAACGAAAGAAAGTGAAACATGAAATATAGCACCTACTTACATTCACCCCTGTGATCCTTGACAGTAAAAGCTTCTGTCTTCACTTCACGAAGGCGAACGCCCCTCACAAAATCCAGAAGCAACCTTCAATCCGAGACCGAGCCTGAATTTTCAGCGGAACAGTACCCGTGATTTGAGAATGTTGGCTAAAAAGAAAATAAAACAAGTGAACAGCAACAGATCTGAGGGGTCTAATCCAGAAATGCAGGGCTGAGTTTTCTAAGGCAAGAAACGAACAGTCTATCCGCCCTTGTTATTTTGTGTGAAAAATGACAAAAACCCAGAAAATGGAGACATTGTTTTAACTTTGAAGGTGTTTTCAGACATCAGGCTGATTTTTCCAAGATACGCTGTTTGGTCTATTTTGTGTGTGAAATGACGCAAGACCCGGGAAATGAAGACACTGTTTAAGGGCAGTGCTGTACGTTCAAGGACCGCAGATGTTATATTTTTTTGCTTGATGATTACAATTGCATACGACAAAATCACTATTGAGCGTTCCCTTCCACCATGTATTTTCGATTGGAAATCAACATTCCTGAAAATGTTTCTTCATTGCCTATTTAGAAAATCCAAAATAAAGTTCTCTTTTGACAATTCCTCCTATTGTATAGATTGGTTTCTGATACAAGAATTCGAACAGAAAGTACTAATTTCTTTGAAACCATGGCTACCCATGTCAGCAGCGCCGCATGTTTGTCTGTTCCCTGTCAGAGAAAAATTCAGAGAGTAAGAGCTGTCGCCTCTGAGGATTTTGCTGCTGTGAAGACAAATGGGAATGAGAAAGTGAAATTGGGAGCCTCAGACCTGAAGGTGACAAGGCTGGGGATTGGAGCTTGGTCATGGGGTGATACCAGTTACTGGAACAACTTTGAATGGGATGGTAATTTTGCAGAAACTCTAACTTTATAAGTATAGGAAATAAAAATGAAAATTGTATTTTTTTGGGCAGTTGTATAATGGGTTCTTCATGTTCTCCATTTTCTTATTGTCCTATAGATAGAATTATCAAGGAAACAATATCTTGACATAATATTCTTAGTATCTTGTGTATTCATCTTTCTGTGTATTGAAATAACTACTAGGGCAACTCGTATTTACTGAAATCCTAACAGTTAAGAAGATCCTAGTTCTGCCCTTTTTTATTTTATTTTGTTTTTGTTTTTGGTATGTCCAATAATCGGCTATATAACAGGGGATAGCCCACCCCTTACCAAATCCATTTTCCGTTTGTATTGATTATGTATGTTGTGTTTCCTTTATCTGGCTAAGTTGTTTTTCCGTGGCGCTATCAGTTGCTTTAATTCTTTAGTTAGGTATGGTTTTCAAATTTTTAACTTGTCAAAGAGATGTTTCAAAACTATCATTTCTCTTTGTGATGGTGGGGTGGCAGATAGGAAGATGAAGGCTGCTAAAGCTGCTTTTGATGCCAGCATTGATAATGGTATAACCTTTTTCGACACCGCTGAAGTTTATGGCTCTAGGGTGAGAATGGGCAAAATAGTTTATCCTTTTACATTGGTTATTTTGAAGAATTTAATTATATACTATTGTTGCAGATATCATTTGGTGCCATAAGCTCTGAAACTCTCCTAGGAAGGTATGATACTTTAATTCAATTGAGGATTGCATTTCTACTTTCAAGTCTCACCAGTAGGATATCCAGCTTTGTTCTTCTCTTTCTCTTTTTATTCTTCTGATCAAATATCTCGGTTTCATTGCAGATTTATCAAGGAAAGGAAAGAAAAGAATCCAGAAGTAGAGGTAGTTATTGCTACCAAGTTTGCGGCTTTGCCATGGAGGTTTGGCCGTCAAAGTGTTCTCACTGCCCTTAAGGATTCCTTATGTCGGCTTGGACTTTCATCAGTAGATCTTTATCAACTCCACTGGTCTGTACTTCATGGCACATTCCTATAATTTTCTCTGATGTATTTGTAAATAAATGGCTCCAAAGGTTTGCTATTGATTTTCAGGCCTGGAGTATGGGGGAATGAAGGTTGTTTAAGTCCAACACCTCCAATTTATTGAGGAATAGACTTTCCGATGGCTTGTGCAATTTAACATTTTTTTTTATGGACTGTACAATATAACATTTATACTGTCCTCTTGTTGAGGTCAGCAGAAGCTGAATACTTTGAAAAAAACTTCTTTCAGGATATATTGATGGTCTTGGTGACGCTGTTGAGGAGGGCCTTGTGAAGGCTGTTGGTGTTTCGAACTATAGTGGTAAGTTATATAACATCTCCAGCATCTAGATGTTGATTGTGGTCAGTCAGATTGAATCATCCAAAATCATAGATTACAATTTCAATGGCTGTTGTAGCTTGGACTTTTTGTGCTGTAAATGTAAAATGAGTAACTGCATCTCTTTCCTCTATTCAGAGAGGCGATTGCGGGATGCGTTCGAGAGGCTTAACAAGAGAGGAATTCCACTTGCTTCAAACCAAGTGAATTACAGTCTCATATATAGAGCGCCAGAGCAGAATGGTGTGAAGGCTGCATGTGATGAACTTGGAATCACTTTGATTGCATATTCTCCTATTGCTCAAGGTGATATCAATTGCTTTGCATGATTGCTTTAACATGTTAATTCTCATTCGTGCATGGACATAACAGAGGCCTCTTACTCTTTGTTAAGAGACTCAAGAATCACATAACAAAAAGATGTTTTTTCTTTCTACATTATCAAGGGCCTTGAATCTCAAACTTCCATTGAAATAAAAAAAAAAAAAAAAACTAAAGAATTCAATTTGACATAAAAAGCAAAGACTGAAGTTATTCTCCGTTGGAAGAATAAGAGCTTATTTCTTTGTAAGGATGAACCCTCTGGACTAGAATCCAAAGCATTGAAGATGTCTGAATTTTCTTTTCATAGCACTGTTTTATAAATCAGAATTTTGCTTTTATTTCATTTTTCTTTGGTTCTTTATGCATTTGTTTTTAATTGTTGTTGCAAATACTTGTAATTGCAAGAACCAAACTGAACCCTGTAATTCAGTGTTTACTTGAAACTCTACTAAAATTGGCATATAATCTTCTTGATTTTGCAGGTGCTCTAACAGGAAAGTACACACCAGAAAATCCACCAACAGGTCCTCGTGGCAGGATTTATACTCCTGAGTTTTTAACGAGGGTAAATCCTTTTGAGTGTCATGTATATATCTTATATAACAATTTCTGATTTGAATCTTACTGAGCTATATTTTGACATGCACAGCTGCAACCTTTGCTTAACAGGATTAAGGAAATAGGAGATAACTACAGCAAAACTGCTACACAGGTGTGTTATTGTTTCTTTTGTTCTCTTCTATCTGAGATTAAAAAACTTACAGCACTGAGTATATTTACCCAATTTGTACTTATTAGAAGTTTTATACACCATTGATTCAGTTTCTAGATAATATACTTGAAGCAGGCATTCATCAGATTACATGTATGCATGCATCATAATTTATGTTAAGCTAGTGGTGCCAAGGTTCTACAAGAATTGAGATGCTTTTATAGGTGGTTCTCAACTGGTTAATAGCCCAAGAGAATGTTGTGCCAATCCCAGGAGCCAAAAATGCCGAGCAAGCTAAGGAATTTGCAGGTGCACTGGGATGGAGACTTACTGGTGACGAGGTCAATGAGCTACGCTCGTTAGCATCAGAGATCAGTCCCGTCATTGGTTTCCCTATTGAGTACTTGTAGATATTGTAGCAGATTCAATGGCTTCCATGGATGTCAAAAACGTATGGTTGGCCTTCCGGTGCACACCATCGTTCTTTATAATTTCTGTATTTTTTTTTTTTTCGTTTTTCTTTATGTATCTGAGCACTCATAATACTTCACCAGGTTTTTTAAGACGTTCTAGTCCTTCAATTTCATGATATGATTGGTTGTTTCATGGAGGTCTATATTTAAGGCTAGCCTTTGAATGGGTGAGGAGACCATGGATGAGGATGCACAATCTGAAAATGAATTCATTGAAGTGTGCATTTGGTTTCTGTTGGTAACTGTTTTGGTTACCTTGTGTGTGAACATGGTCTGAAAATTGATAAAAATAAGGCGAGGGCTGTTATTGAAGCACAACCACCACAAAGCAGGGAGCTGCAAAGAGTCCATGGCTAAGTAAATTTCTTCAGATGCTTCATCTTAAATCTAGCAGGGAAGACTAGAGTCTTCTCACCTTTGTTGAAACTCAAGTCAAAAGCATATTTCAAGTGGAGGAGCACCACCAGACTGCCTTTTTGAAATAAAGCATTATTTATCAAAATCATGGGTCTTAATACCTCTTTGAAATAAAGCTTTACTTTTGTATATGTCTATTGCAAATGAATATGTAGGATGCTTGTGACTCAACAAAATAACAATAAACAAGAGCAAGAAGTGTATTATTTAAGTTGACATTCATCACATACTAAAATGAAATTTTCTTTGATTGAAAGATTTTTTGTCTTGCATTGTTTTTTACCGCAGTAAAATTGAGGCATTGGTTTTTTTTATATGAAGGTTTATGTTATTTCAAAAACTGATGAAATTAATTATCTATTGTCTCGTCCAATGTTGAGAGGCTAAATCGGAAAAAGGGTTTTCTAAGCATGTCAAAAATTCAATTTGATGTATATACCTTACAAGGCTATTAAGGGTCAAGCTTGGCAAATTTCTTGGCAAATCATTTGTGTCTTGAAGTGGAAACGAATAAGGAAAAATGGTCAATTTATTTTCCATAATTTTGGTTTCTTGGAAGCATATTTTTGATGGGTCTAGCATAGATTATATGTCCGGGGCAAGAGTTGTAATTATTTCTTCCTTAGATTTAAAGACCCAATTGCCTCTTCTTCTAGACTTCAATTGCAACAAACAACCAAGCTAAGTATAAGGCATTGATTATTGGGTTAGAATTCTTGATAAAACTCAAGGTTACTTCGGTGGAAATTATTAGTGACTCGCAATTAATTTGAAACAATTAAAAAGAGAGTACAAATGTATCCGTCTTTATTTAGCACCATATTTTGCTTTGGCACTGCAGCTTCTAGAGGAGTTTAATAATATAATCTTGAGGCATATTACTAGGGACCAAAACAAAGAAACAAATGAGATGACGCAGATCACTTCAGCCCTAAGAGTCCTTGAAAGCATGATGAAGAAAAGCAACCAACGAGGGGTTGGATCAAGTGGTAAGCGGCTTGTTCCAGCTTAAGTAAGGTCTCGAGTTCGAGTCCTTGTGTATGCAGCAGCCCCCGCTGGGAGACTCACCCATCATTTCCAGGTGCGCGACGCGGGTCGGGTCCGGATTAGTCGGGGCGAAGCCCCGGATACCGGGCGGGAAACCAAAAAAAAATGATGAAGAAAAGCAAAGTTGTGGAAAAGTGAGTTTTGCCATCCATTCTTGAATGTGGTATGGTGGTTTTGCCCATTTTACTGACATAACTCAAAACAAAATGGCGCTTCCCAATCATTAGATATCTCAAGAACCCAAATTCTAAGTTCTGAAAAAAAAAAAAAAAAATACAAGCCTTGAATTATATTATGCTAGAAGATGTGCTCTACCAAGCGAGGTATGGTGAACTCCTCTTGCATTGACTAGGGCCAAACAAGTGTTACCAGGTCATGTCAGACATGTGTAATAGAATATGTGGTGCACATCAAGCCAAAAAACAAGATGTGCATAATCTGTGGATCCACAAACATGATTTCTTTTGGCTATCAATTTTGAAGAGCTGTATCAGCTATACTAAGATTGCAAAGCCTCTCAAATCTATGGAGCATCACAAAAAATTACAACATTAGAACTTCACACCCAATTTTTAAACTTTGATCATTCCAAAGATGGGCCACAAATCTAATAGAAAAAGTCTACCCTCCCTTTTACTAAAAGGCTTTCATTCATTATTGTTGCTACATATTATTTTAAAAATAGGTGGAATCAATCTATAAAGCAGATAGACTAAACTGATATCATCAAGTTCATTAAGAAGGATATTATCCATAGATTTGGTCCGCAAGAAACAATCATTTCATATTGGGGGACAATTTTTGTCTAATCGCAAGTGAAGGCATCTGCTAAGGAGATCAGCTTTTGCTTATTAACTTCAAACCCATATTTTGCTCAAGTCAATGGTCAAGCCAGTAACAAAATTGACTACGAGAACAAAGTTCAATGCTACATCGAGCATTTGGCCCCGTAGTGATGCAACAAAAGAAAGATCTAGTGGAATGATGTAGGAAAGTTAGCTCGAAGCTCTTCAGTGCCAATTTCTGCCTTATACCACTCTGGTCCATATTTTCAGTCAAGAAACGCTGCAAATTCTAAATCAGGACGATTGGGGGAAAGAGAAGCAGGGAAGCTGAAACAAGTTTCGGAGTCCTCATTCTTTTCTGCATCCTAAAAGAGCATGTCGTAGGTCCAAATTTCCTCATCTGGCATCTCTGAACTCCAGTGCCAAGGAAGAGTATAGATGAAAAGACTTTTGCCACCATAAGGAATGGAAACGTCGATTATTTTCTAAATTGCATCATGAATTGTTTTATATGAAAATTGCCTCCATTTTCTTCCATTTAGGCACTTGTCCTACAACTTAATCGTAAACTGCAGACAGCCGTTGGGTGGTTCTACACTGTTTGTTCTACCTTCCTACTTCAGACTTCCTTTTTTCTTACCCCATGTCTTCCCATGTTATTACGAAGTTAAGCATGTGTTAAATGCATTTCGGGAATTCTGGAAAATAGGCTTTAAGTAATGGGATTGAAGCTGACATATTACCAGGTAAATACCCAGACCACCAACAAGCCTGAATCAAGATAAACAGAAAATGAAGAAAAATGGTATCTTCTAGGGTTGATAGACATATAGATCACTATACTGAATATTAATAGTCAGAATGTCAAACTAAATTGCTCCTCGGAGCAATGACAAAAGGACTATAATACACACATCCCCAAGTATAACTCTAATGATTCAAAATGTCCCCGCATAAAAAGAGTCTGTATCAAACACAGATATAGAGTTGGCCAAATAAATAAGCAGAGATGAATATGGCCATAATTGCTGTTTTAGGAAAAACTAAAATTTTGATAAACTATAACATTAAAGCCTCTGTCAACTCATACAGTTACAGAGAAAAAAAAGTTAATGAAAATAGCTAATAAATAACTTAGATTCATTCAGTAGTCATCACCTCTAGATATCACCTCCTTGCAGGTTGGCCGCAGTAAGACAGTATGCTCAAACTGTGATACATAACTGCCCTTAACATCACACAGAGGAGGATAAGGCTGCAAGAAGAAGTAGGTTTTTTGTTGGAATAAATACAACATATGGAACAAATGATTAATTTCATTTTCTCCAAACTTCGACTAAATTCCTGAATCTTTCAAGCAAAATAGGGAGCAGTTACACTCATTCAGGTTAAGTGTCATTGGTGCCTGTACTTGTGTTTCACAGCATTGAGGTTCAGTGGCTTAAAGGATATTCAACTTAACACTGGCTGGACAGAAGGCCTCAAAAGCAATGAAATATAAGCCTCTTACAAAAAATATTGGCATGAAGTCACGATTTTAAAGCCATGTGTCAGACTGATCTATAAAGATAGCCATAGACCCCATCACTTTTCGTTCCTCATATTATGATTCCTAAAAGCTATTGCCATCCCTCTACATGGAACCATTGACTCCACACACTAACGCCACCACAAAGGCAATGAGATATAAGCCCCTCACAAAGATTGACAAGCCATCATCAACCCATGAACTCAATCTATAAAAACAGACATTGACACCAACACTTATCATTTAGTATCATCTGCTTCCTAAAGCAAATTCCTAACCCTCTGTATGGAACCATCCACCTCTTTGCACTAATGCCACCTCCAAAACGTATAAAATTGCAGGAAAAACATCTGACCAGTACCATAATCTTATCTATACTAATATGTAACTAGAATTGCCACAAGAATACTTAATGTTTCACAAAGTAGTCAGACAGCATTATATTGGGCCCAACAAAAAAAACAAATAGAAAAAGACAGCACAATAACACAGTGGAATACTAGAATTTCAATGCGAGAAAAGAATATACCTGAACAATGCCAGAATCACACAGATTTTTCAATGCCATTAGATATTTTGTCTCTCCCAAGCGATCTAAGTATCGTCTACAGAAAGCCAATGTGGAGAAGTTCTTGTTTATTGTCGCTAGAAGCTGTTTGGCTCTTGGCAACCTTAGTGGGATGTGGCCAACATCAAAATTTTTCATGTAATGGCTGCACTCTAGATCTTCCCTAACATATCCTTTACCTGCAAATAATAAATTACTAATTACACCATTGGTCATGATATACATGAGTGGCCATCTCATCCACAAGAGCCTACCATTCCTTTTCAGACAAAAACTAGTACCTGTTGATGCAAAAGTTTCAATGGCAAAGAATTCACCCTCTTCCATTTTTGTTTGCTCACCCCCTTTTACAATAGGAACTGATTTTCCAGCATGTATTTGATAACGTCCCACGCTATGTCCATTCAGGTTTCGGATGCTTTTGACTGCAAAACATGTTTAAATCCAAATGCTCTTAAATCAAAACATTCTCAGAAAAAAGTATAAATCCACACTATCTGAATATGTTATTGCATAGCAAAGGTAAAAAATGACATTGCCTGACCAGAAAAGGAAAAGCAGTTTAAATTGGTTGCATGATAGTGTACAAGGGGCACATGGATTGACAGATGGCACATCATTACCTAACATTATAGAGAATCTCTCCAAACAGGAGTGTACCTAGACTGAGTCAAACATGGAAAAGAACATTCAATTTTTCAAGCTTAAGAAATGAAACAAGGTAAATTTGAGTAGCATTAAAAAGAGCACCCTTAAGGCTTTCTAGGTACATCATTCAAATTTAGAGAGTACCATCCTAATCCACAAGTTTCCTTCATCTTTTAGCTTTGATTATAGAAATTTCTGGAAATTTATTAGAACTAGGCATCCAAGCACAAAGGTTTTAAGTGGATATTCTTCTTTTACTAAACTGCAGAATTACAAGATTTGACCAACTTCTCTGGTGTGTGCTTAGAGGGTGATCAACCACAATCAAATCCATTTGCAACAGACATAGTGCATTTAGGAAAGAGGCAGTTGGAAAAACAAACTCCAACCATGCCAATAAAAAGGAGCAGTTAGAATTGAGATTTGCCATGATCAACTAAATAGGAAAATTTTCAATGCCACATAGATGC